GAGTAGCCGGAATACAGGCATGTGTTTCCACGCCCGACTGATTTTTTGATTATTGTAGAGATGAGGTCTCGCTGCCCAGGCGGGTCTCGAACCCACGGCTCAGGCAATCCACTCACCTCAGCCTCCCAAAGGTGCGGGATTACAGGCCGAGCCACCGAGCCCGGTTGGGGAGCTTTCTTTATTTCTTGTCTCTGAATGGAAGAGGAGGGTGGGGCGGAAGACAGAGAAAGGCAAGGCCACACAGAAGGCATTCTAGGCCCTGGGCTCCAAGGGAGCGGCCCCAGTCGTCATACCAGTGATTTCGCCACTCTGAACCTCAGTTTTCTCATCTGTCAAATGGTCATAAAACCACCTACCCACTCACGGTTATGAAGGAATCAGCACATATAAAATGCCCAGTGCAGTCCACGTAGAAACGGTCATAAAAAGCGTTCATCTTGTGATCAGCTCTTTCCCTCAGGGAGGAAGAGGCAGGGCCAATCTCCAAATGAGCATCTTTGCAAGAGAAATTGCAACTGTAAATAATGAGCCCACTCAGGCATAAAAGGAAGAGAAAAACAGACCAAACTGCAACAACAAAAACTGCAATAAGAAAAGCCATGGCCCCATTTTTTAAAATCCAGTCCAGCTTCGATGGGCAACATGGTTGGTTCCATGTTTTTGCACAATGGAATATCATGCAGCCATAAAAAAGGACAAATATATGAACTTTGCAGAAACCTGAATGGATTTGGAATCGATCATACTCAGTGATTTATCACAGAAACAAAAGCACAGAGTTCCATGTGTTCTCACTCATAACAGGAACTTGAGCAATTGTAATGCTCTAGGAAAGCTACTGGCAGTCATGGGAAACTGTCAGTGGTGAGGGGGTATTAGCAGTTGAGGGAAACTGCCAGGGGAGGGAGGGGCATACCTCATCAGCTGGGGTACCTGCATGATCAACGTTTGTATACCTAACCCTGAATTGTACCCCACACCTTTATAATAAAAGAAACAAAGAAAAGTCATGGCCCAGGTTGCTGGGAAGGGTGGGGTGACCCTCAGGGCAGGCTTGCGACCCTCTCAGGGGCGATTGGGAGGACGGCCCCAGAGATTCAGAAACGCAGGTACGAAGCTGTGGGAAGGCTTACCAAAACGTTACGCATAAACAGAAAATTAGGAAGAATAAACAGGTTTGTTTTGTTTTCTTTTTTTAACATTATGAGGAATATATATCACTTCATCTCGGAAAAAATGTTCCTTTCTGAAATTAGAAAAAGTTATACAACGGGCTGGGCGTGGTAGCCCACACCTGTAATCCCAGCACTTTGGCAGGCTGAGGCGAGAGGAATACCTAAGCCCAAGGGTTCGAGACCCACCTGGGCAACTTGGCGAGACCTCATCTCTACAACAAATCAAAAAACTCAGCCAGGTGTGGTGGTGCTCGCCTGTGGTTCCAGCTACTTGGGAGGCTGAGGCAGAAGGATCACCTGAGTCCAGCAGGTCGAGGCTGCGGTGGTCATGAGTATGCCCACTGCATTCCAGCCCGGGCGACAGAGATTCCGATTCCAAAAAAGAAAGTTATGCCATGGGATCTTTTCCAGCCATGAGAAAGAAGATTCTGCCATTTGCAACCACGTGGATGACACTAGGTAAAGCGAAACAAGAAAGTCCATGGAAGCTGACCCAGCAAAGGCATTTACCAGGAACAGGGAGAGGGAGGAGAGCTGGGGAAATGCAGGTCAAAGGGCTCACATCTTCAGTGACAAGATGACTAAGTTCTGGGGATCCAGTGATGACTGCAGTTAGCAAATATCGCATTGTGTACTTGAGAAGCACTAAAAGAAGGCGTGATGTCCTCACCCCACTCACATACACACACGCGCGCACGTACCCACACACACATGCATGACTACGTGGGGTGATAAATGTGTCAGTCTGACCGTGGTCATCGCTTCACAATGTATAGGTATAACAAATCATCACGTGGTACATTTTGAACATATGCAATGTTAATTTGTCAATCACATCTCAATAAAACCAGAAAAACATAAATACATTAGGGAAACATTTGGGAGCACATTGGATTCGCTGACATCATTTTTAAATATCCCAACTGTTTTTCTTTTGACTATAACATCAACCAAGGAAGGCCAGATGTAGATGGAGCCCTCTAACGTTTTTTTTCCATGGGACTCAAAGGCAAAGTCCATCACAATCAGTGCTTCCAGAACACAAAGGACATGAGGAAGATGGGGAAGAAAAAGAGAAAATTGGTTGGGCTCGGTGGCTCAGCCTGTCATCCCAGCACTTTGGGAGGCCGAGGCGAAAGGATTGCCTGAGCCCAGGGGTTCAAGACCCACCTGGGAAACCTGGTGAGACCTCATCTCTACAATAAATCACAAAAAGTAGCCGGGCATGGTGGCATGCATCTGTACCCTGGGTGACAAAAGTGAGATGCCAACTAAAAAAAAAAAAGAAAAGAAAGAAAGAAAGGAAAATGATACATGCAGAAAAGTTGACAAACCCTCCACTGTGATACTAAATACTATTAGAATAGCTAGGTTTAATGCTTCCCTCTCATCAGTCAAACACACACATGAGAACTTTTGAAATAAACCTCAATTCACCCACTGAGTCCTTTCCCACACAGTCTACCGGAATCTATTTTTGTACTCCAGTGAGATTTGCAGCAAAGAATAGAGCTCCAGTAAAAAGAGGAAATCATCTCTGTGCTGTACCTGGGCTTTTTCTGACTTCCCCGTTTTAAAAGAATCACCCAGCAAAGTCCATAAAATTCAGAATAACAAGTCCAGTCTTCTATGCACTGGCATACATCACCGCAAACATCTTGAACTAAGCAGAATCCACTAAAGGTTCTGGGTAATTTGCCATCGTCTTAGACAACTTATAATGATACGTTGCAGCGCCGAGGGCTGGAAGAAACCTTCCAGATCATCTGGTTCCAGCCCATCATTTTCTAGATGAAGAACTTGGGAAATAAACTGGCTGCTCCAACATACCAAAGACCCTAATTAATGCATCTGCTCAATGTCAAGGTGGAGATGGGGTGGGAAAGAAAATAAAACCTCTAAAACGTGTTTTCATGGAATTGTAATTTTGAGCCTGAGACCTATAAAATGAAGAAGAATAAGGATGGCGATCACAGTAGTTTCCTGATCCAACCTCTGGAAAACGGAGAGATTAAAAGCTGCCGGAGCCAGGTGCGGTGGCTCACGCCTATAATCCCAGCACTTTGGGAGGCTGGGTTCCAGACCAGCCTGGGCAACCTGACCAGACCTCGTCTCTACAATAAATCAAAAAATGAGCCGGGCGTGGTGGCACGTGTCTGTGGGTCCAGCTACTTGGAAGGCAGAGGCGGAAGGACCACCTGAGTCCAGCAGGTCGAGGCTGTGGTGGCCGTGAGCGTGCCACTGCACTCCAGTCTGGGCGACAGAGTGAAACTCTGACTCAAAAAAAAAAAAAAAAGCCGCAGGAGTGAACACATTGAATCTGTGAGTAGAAGCAGGAAGAGAACTCACGACGAGCTCTGCCCCGAAGTCGGATGACCCAAACACTGGCCTGATTTTATATCCAAAATGACGAGTGTCTGGAATCCGCCCTAATGTGATGGTGCCTCCATTTCTAGGAAAGTAGAGATTTGAGAAAATGCTGGATGCAGAATAAAGACAACCTGACGTTGACCTGATGGCGGGGGGAGCCTTAGACCTTGCTGGCTCTTCGGTGGTCCCTGAGCCAGCAGCATCAGCACCACGTGGGGGGCTTATCAGAAACGCAGAATCTTGGGCTGCCCCAGACCTCTGGAGTCAGTATGCATATTGACAAGGCCCCCAGGCTCCTCTGTGCATATTTCAGTTTGAGAAACACCTGTTTAGACAACACAGCAGCAAAGAAAGCATAACTGACAACGTGCACCCAACTTTAATCTAAGTTTCAGGACTAATGACTTCCTCCACTCTGTCACCGGCTTTCCTCACCAAAGCTTTTCAACTTTAAGCCTTATTTTACTTTCTATTTTTGTTTGTTTTTTTTTTAATTTTTGAGACAGGATCTCACTGTCACCCAGGATGGAGCACAGTGGTGTGATCCCAGCTCACTGCAGCCACAACCTCCTGGACTCAAATGATCCTCCTGAGTAGCTGGGACTACAGACGTGCACCATCATACCTGCCTAATTTGTTTATTTTTTGCAGAGGTGGGGCCTTGCTATGCTGTCTAGGTTGGTCTTAAACTCCTGGGTTTAAGTTATCCTCCTGCCTCGGCCTCCCAAAGTGCTGGGATGACAGACGTGAGCCATTGCACCCGGCCTTAAACTTTAAAGGGTCTAAAATTTAGCCTACGTTTCAAATGAGCTCAGTGAATATCTCATTATTTGTTAAAAAGTACCTCAGTCATTGCTTTGTTAAACTCTGCTGTCTCCATGTGGCTCTTTGAGCTATGGCTGCCATGTTTTCTTAGCTTTGGCCCCCTCCCCTACCTTGGGGAAGTGAATCTCTCTCCTTAATTTACTTTCTA